CACAGCCAAGGCGATGATCAAGTTGGTGAGCGAGGAGAGGGTGCCAGGATGCTGCAAGACCAACTGCCAAACGATGTATTCAGATGTGCTGCCTCGGGGGCCACCCACCTGAGCTGCAATGGAGGTCGCCCACCTGAGCTGCCACGGAGCCTGCCACCCGGGCGGCCACGGAGGTCGCGGCAGGGCCTGTCATGGAGGTCACCTACCTGGGCTGCCATGGAGGTCGCCCACCTGAGCTGCCACGGAGCCTGCCACCCGGGCGGCCACGGAGGTCTCGGCAGGGCCTGCCATGGAGGTCACCTACCCGGACTGCCACGGAGGTCATCCACCTGGGCTGCCACGTGGGCTGCCCACACGGGCCGCCGTGCAAACTGCCAACCCGGGCCGCCATGGAGCCGCCATCCGGGCTGCTGTGGAAGCTCCCCACCCAGGCTGCCGTGGAGGCCGCCCCACCCAGGCTGCCACCCGAGCTGCCGTGAAGGCTGCCCACCCGGGCTGCCATGGAGGCCGCCACCCGAACTGCTGGGGAGGCCGCCCACCTGGGCTGCCATAGAGGTCTTCACCCTCCTGAGAAGCCGCTTACGGGACGGCCAACGACATCGGACTAACCAAAGTGGTTGGTGCCCGTGACCCGGATCTGGTGAACGACAAACTGAGGTGGGGACGAGGAACAACAGGTGCGTGTGTGTACTGTACTAGGTATACGATGTCATGTTGTAGGCGTTGCTGAAGATCAGATGATTGTGTAGATTTAGATGAGTAAGGGGTGTGACTTTTTTTTGTATGAGTTGCGAGGACGCAACTAGGGTTGTTTGGACTGAAGATGTAGCACGCTACATCTTGAACATTTAACGTAATATCTTTTCGGCACGGCTCGGTCTGGCAGTCCCCCCCCCTCGCAGTCCGGTCACAGGCCTAGCCCTCCATTCACACACCCGTCGCTGCTACCGGGTGACGCACAGCTGAGCGGAGCGCTGCTGCTGCGCTCTCCTCCCCTCTCATTATTCACTACACCCCCCCCCCCCCGTCACCAGGCCCGCCATCCCCATTCAGCACTTTTCCCCAACTCCCTCAACGAGCACTGTCCGTGAGAATAGCCCGCAGTAGACACATCTGCGAGAAGACGATGCCGGTCACATCAGTACGAACCGCCGAGGCACAGCTGAGTCAACAAGCTACGTCAGAACTGCGGCCGGCGGCGGCGGCGAGCGAGCACGTTAAGGTACTCTGTCACTTGTCACGTACTCTGTCAGGTACCACAACAGCTGCGCCGCGCTGAGTCCCACGGAGGGAATGGCAAAACCAGAAAGATCCTACGGCAAGCAAAAACGCTGTAGTTCCAGAGGTCTTCGCAATGGGCAGCCGTTAAACTCTCATTACGACGCTCGCCTATGGAGACAGCTACCGCAGGATGAGCGTTCCGAGCCTCCTCAAATAACGCTGGATCAGTAAGATATGTCAACAGATCATGGAGCAGTGTCAAGGATGGATGCCGGCTGGAGCACACAGCCTCCTTTGTCGGGCACAGCAACCCAGGGTGAGTGAACCTGGCAAAACAGCCGGGTGACCGACCTCACAATGGCCTCATGAGGTAGTTCCAGAGATCTCCGCAGAGGAAGAAGGCGCTGACTTACGGCCACGCCCCGGTACGGTGGGCGGAGCAAGAGTGACGTCACAGGGGCGTTGGCGGCAGACGAAACGGAAGGAAACAAAAGTTTGAATAAAATGAAATTGAAGAATCAAAATTAAAACTCGAAAATCACAAACCTTTCGGGGATTGTTTTATGCCAGCGATTACTAAAATGATAAAGCACTCAACACGAAGACGATTCGACGGCCAAAAATTGCAGGCACAGAGGAGCAAGGTGACTAAACAGGACAGAGGGCGCCATCTTACGGCCCCACCCACCAGAAGAAGGCAGAGGAAGATGACGTCGCAAGGGCGTGGCAGTCACCCCTCCCCCCCCAACTATAAAAGGGTGCGCCACCCAACCAGAGAGAGAATCACAGTCGAGCAGCCGAGAGTCACAGTCTGCAGCTGGAGCCGGGGACGCCTTCTGGGAGCCGCCGTCAGTCCGGGGTCACCCGCGAGAAGCCTCTTCAGTTCGACCGACCCGAGCCGGAGGACAACCGCTGACGCTTGTGACCACACTGAGAAGCGGAAGCGCAGAGAAACTCCAGAATGTGAGTGTTGTTGAAAAGTCTGCTCAATCCCTGATCCTTGCCCCCCCCCCCCTCTGCCCAGCCTACCGTGCCGTGACGACTGCCAAACATTTTCGGTTGCCATAAAATGCACTCTCAATTGGAATTGGAAAACTTAAATTACTTTGAACTTATTGGTCCAGACACCCTAGTAGCATATTAGGATCTGAATTTCGAGGTCATGTCAGAGTCGCCAGCAACTCGTTATCATCCGTTGGAATTCACGATTAGGCCGTGAGCGAAATCCTAAAATTTGAATAAGCAGCTCAGTGTCACGAACGCTGAAATTGATGACAGGATGCGTGACCACATTGAATATGTCATTGTCTTTGGTCAAACTGGTTCGTTCGATTTATTATAATCGGCGGTGGTCAAGTGCGATTTGAGGTTGGAATTCGTTTGTGAAATTAATGGTGTAGATTCGTGCTTAATTCACTAAAAGTTGCATTGCGAAATTATTGGTAATATTGCTGAAGGAATCAATTGCGAAGTCGAAATCAATTATTGAACAGGTAAATACGGTTGAAAGCGAATGTAATGTTTTAAGGTGGCGACTGATTCATGCGATCGATCTATGAATATGGCTATGAGTTATGATTTTCGACAGATACGAATGCTTGAGCTTATGGCGGAATTTCTTCTGTTACTTAGGTGCAGAGTTGTGAGCAGTGGTTTGGGGTTGACGGTTTGACACTTTGCGACTTTAGATGGTCACTTTGCGTCATTGAAATTGCGAAATGTCGAGTAACAGGTAGATGTAGAATTGTTTGTGATTAGAAATAATATGCGACTAATATAGGTACCGATCGTTGTGCTTTTGTAGAATAAATACTAGAAAGGACCATCTTTGTTGGGGAACGATTAAATGGGACAGGAATTTAATTAAAAAAAAACTTACGTCGAATGGAGCTGATGAGGTGTCGAACAGGGAGATATTGCAGCAATATTTTACCAGATTCACACTCACTGACACATCCGGTGAATCTACCCGGCCAGAAGAGACAACACACACGAGCACTGTACCGCGAGTGTTGACGCGCCCATAACGGCGTGACTGTGACTGACGGTGTCGACGCGGCGCTGGCCGGCGGCCGTGGTATTCGTCGTCCCCGACGCGGGCGTTGAGCCGCCAGAGGGCGCGAGGAGCAGCCACAACAGGGGCAGTGGGTTAGCCGTAATTGGGGCGCGTGCGGTAGGTGAAGGTCATCGTAGGTATAGGCATGGTTAGTTGTGGAAAGTTGCCACGGGATAAGAACGTAAACAGTTAATGCATAATTCTAAATACGACATGCTATGTAATATCTAGACTGCAGTTCGTTTGATGTGCATTGTTTACTGTTGATAGGATGATTTAAATTAGATTTCCTCTGAAAAGCTAGCGATCCGTATGACAATATTCTGGCATTCTATAAAGATAAATTGTATAGGTAACTAGTAGTCCATCAGAAACTGCCATCAGAAACTATCGAGCGAGTTTCAAGGAGTCATTTCCGTTTGAGCACTCAGTAATTTACTATGATACGGCGGTCACAACCAGACGACAGATCGGTGCGTACTAATTGGTTCTAGATCATCTGATTAAATCAAGAGCGGTTCAAGGTCTGCTAGGGTTGTATACGAGAACTGATGATTAGGTTCACGTGTGCAGCAGAAATTATGACTAGAGATTACGATTTGGTTTGGATAAATAACGCGTTTCTGTTATACGCTTTTTGCGAGTTAGCGCCAATAATTACTCCATCAATATTGGCACAGGGCATTATGAGGCACAGACGGCTTGTTTGCCCGTCTCCTATGGCGTAACGTTTACCAGCATGACTGTATGAGACACAGATGCACTTCTCTAAACCCACGTCCAGACCGGAATAATAAGAGGGACACACCGTCACGTACGCAGGGCATATGCACGTTTTCCGCCAGTGGTACCGGCCACTGTTAATTTTCCCGCTTAGGTAACACTGGGTGAGAAGGCAGTGAGAGGTTTCTACGGCAGGGGGAAGGGGGAAGATTGGCACAGTGCAGTGGAGAGTAAGTTATGCCAAAGGCAGTAAGCCGAAGGTCAGGGGTGAGTCACCCAAAGGGCGGATAAGGCGAGCCGTAGTGTCCCGGATAAGTCCTCATACTTATTTCGTAAAGGTACGTTAATCGGTACTGGACAGCCTCAGGGGAGGGAAGAATGTACTCCAGGACACGTAAGGCCTTGAAGAGTAAATCCCATGGTTTAAGGAGAGTTCCTGAGGAGAGTTCCAGGATATGAACGGTGGTCCCTGGGTCGTGAACGGAGGTGTTACACGCGGACCGGAAGAGGGCATAGGTAATCTCTCCCGGATAGAGAGATAAGTCGGATGTAAATCGCGTATATGTGTACCATAAGTCTATCGGACGTGTAGTGAATCCCATAAATTAGCAGGGTGGATATTTGTGCAATTATTCTGGACGGCCCTGCGATAAGTATCTTAGTCGCCGGTTAGCGGAGCATGCATATGGATTTCGGAAAGAGACATTTATCTCGCCGGGGAGACCCTGGTTTGTAAGACGCCTAACACTATCGGAGGGAATTTCGGGGGCTATCAATTAAATTTGGGTGTATACATGAAATGCAAACGTAATGCGAGCAAGGGTGTGAGAATGACGACGCATGAATCTTAGAATAAGGCCGATAGGAATTTGATAGAATTCGGTTACGGCAGTCGAACAAATGATTCTCGAGGGCAGTTAAAACTAGCAACGCTAATACGAATTAAGTGGGCAATTTTCTTAATGGGAAGGCCAGTATAGGAATGGGTGACTGGACAAATGATCACATTCAATTTATCAATGTAATTACCACCCATATGTTTGGCAGTGGTCATCGGGACTTCGAATGCCCTGTCCTTCGCCTGCCCAACTGTGCCGCAAACCCAGCTGATCGGATCCCTCTATCCCAAATCCGAGCAGTGAAGAAGCATCTCGTGCATCATGGTCTATACAATGAACAGAATCATCAAGCCTCTAAATTAAAAAGCATCTTCCATCAGATGTATTTGTATGCAAGGTGGATCTATCTCTAGACATCTCCCTCAGGGATATCTACATCTCCCTCAGGTGGATCTCAACATCTATCTCAGGATCTCATCACTATCTGGATCCCTCCCTATAGCTATCTCAGGATCTCTTCAACGACTCTCAGGTTCCCCTGTATCACCAGCTCTACTACCGACAGCATTACAGCAGCGAATTATTCTCTTCTGCTACAACCAGTTGAACAACAATGGACCGCTGTTTGATTAACCGCAGATGAAGTACTCCTGCCTCTATTCTTTCTTTCTTCTTTCTTTACCTCGCTACAAGTGACACGCGGCCCCTCGCGGACATCCCTGCCCTGACCCAGTCAGAGGTGGCAGCGGTCAGCAGGTCAGTCGGCCGGACGGCGACGGCGGATATTATGTGTATCTGGATAGACCGCAATAACCCCAGAAACTGGGTATCTCTTGGAGGTTTACATAGTAATACGGGCATGGGGACACTGGAAATAGAAACAAACTCTTTGCAGAAGAATAGGCATCCACAAGCAGACTTTTTGATTCAGGTGGTTGTGTTGATGCGATGGAAACAGACAGACAGACGGACAAACGGACGGGCAGCTACATTATCTGGACTGGACTGGTATTAATATAGATATGGACATAATATTGGATGGCATAAGGCTCTTAGTATCGTGTGAAACATGTGTAGCAAATTGCAGCACCACCAGACTGGGAACTTGAGGTAGCTGGAGGCATATATGTTCTGTTATGAATGGCATTGGAACTGCAGGGTGTCTCCGTGTCGAGTCGCCCGCTGGTGCCACTGTGTGACTGTGTCTCGTATACTAACCTGAGTTCTGTTTTGTTTTGATGTGTTGCAGGATGGCAGTGACCTGCAGGAAACTGTATAGACTGCTCCTAACCTCCTCACTCGAAAACTGCCAGGCTGTCCTGACCGCCCTGCACGATACAGACCTGGGATGTGACAGTGGCCAGTCCCGTACCATCAATCTCTGTGTCCCCAGTAAGTGACGGCGTCTCTGACCACCCACACCAGCCGACATGGCGCCACCGGCCTCTCGGACACCCACACTGACGCACGTTACGTCACCAGTACTGACGTCACAATTGGTTACGTTTATGTCCGTTAGTGACGTCACAGTATCAGTATCAGCCCTCATGACGTCATTACTCAGTGATACACACATTGCCATTGTGTTTGTTTCTGTACCTGTAAGTGACGTCATCAGTCTGAGTTGCCCCATGTGACATCACTAGCAATCAGTGTGTAATCTGACGTGCTCTATTTTTCAGAGTCTGTATACGACAAGCTTACTAAGCCACCCAACGGCAGCAAAATCACCGTGTACTACTTCTAAAAGCCTGACTGATCAGTGCCTCAACCGCTCCGGTGACGGCGGCAGTGTCGGAACTCGACAACAGATGGCAGCACCGTGTCCCGTCGGCAGCGCTGTTCTGTACACAATGCACGTCTAGACCTTCATATCCAGAAGTGCTTTGAGCCGCCCTGTCCCATGGGCTCAGGTCCGTGGGTACTTTACCGCCGTGCCAGGCTGGTTTGGGTTGAGTGGCCACCTACTATGAACGTCAAACCCCTTAAGACCCCACTATTTTGCGATAATTTTTAAATGCGTCAACTTTCGTTGACAATATTCTGGCAATGTATGTTTCAGAACCTGCCGAAACTTTTATTACTAAGGTATTTTGACGCCAAACGATTATGGAAGGTACTTCTCATTCACTCGTAATGCTAAGGTCAAATCAGGCCCGGGGAGAGGCTTGCGCTCGGCCACACTCGAGCCCCGCCACCAGCGCCATCTGCTCTAAATGCCATCTACCAGCGCCCGCTACCGCTACCAGCTACCGCCCACCATCAAGCCTGAATGGAGCGAGAGACGCGAGTGACCGGTCGCCGGGCAAGGAGCGCCGGAGGGGTAGGGCGGAGCTTAGCGCTGACGTCATTACGTGGCTCCGCCCCATGAGCGGGTAGCCTCTACCCAAACAGCAGATACGTTCCGTGAAATTTAACATTACGAGTGAATGAGAAGTACCTTTCATAATCGTTTGGCGTCAAAATACCTTAGTAATAAAAGTTTCGGCAGGTTCTGAAACACTCATTGCCAGAATATTGTCAACGAGAGTTGACGCATTTACAAATTATCGCAAAAAAGTGGGGTCTCATGGGGTTTGACGTCCATAGTAAATGCTTGATCATTTGAGCACAGATTGCTACGTTTGTTGACACTGCTTTGATAGGTATATTCAGTATCTGAGATGTATCACGCTCTGGGCCACTGTCCAGCCGTCGGTAAACCGTTGTCACCGTGCCGGAGGTACCGCCCTGGTGGCGTCACGTGTGTTGTGACGTGACGTCACGCTGGCTCACACCGCTGTGCTGTTGTGGTTGTAGTTTCAGTTTATACCATAGAGTCGTTGGAGCTAGCTGTGAGGGTGTCCGGTCCGGGCGATATCGGACCTCGCCCGTCACTGTGTCGGACCGTCGGTGGTCCGGTCGGCTGTGGTTGGTTTGGACCGGATATGTCCGGTTCGGTGTCGCTCATGGGATATCACGGGCTGATGGCGATTGAAATACACAGTGGTTGAGACGTTCAATACACAAATGTTACTGGGTTTCAAAGCGCCACTGCAGTGCCGTTATTTCGTGACGTTAACCCGTCAAAGGGATTGTAAGGCTTCTGACCATTATGTAATGCTTTGAGCATAGCATTCCATAATGTCATACGAAGTTGTGATAAAAAGAAGTCACCTACTTGAAGTGACGTGGAGCTCTAATGTCAGGATGCTTCATAAAAAGTGCGTGCAACTTCAGGTTGCCTAATATAAGTGTTGCGTGAAAATTAAGCCAAACCCAGAGAGTTATCAGTAAAAAGAAAAATCGCGTCATTCCCAGGAAATGTATCCCTCACGGGAGGGGAATCATACTTTTTACCCTCACCCCCGGCCCAGCACTTCAGTTGACTGAACCGTTAGGCTGTACTGATTATCACACATCAAGTGTGTCTATGGTGATCAATGTGTCACCCAGCCGGTGCAGTGCGGCACAGCCTACCACTGCAGGCAGCTGATTGCCCGCTGAGAAACGGTGCATCGTTCTGCCGTCAACTGTAGACTGTACAGTGTGTATTAGTTATATTACAGCTGTATGGACACAGCACGGGTACGGATCCGGGACACCACACCATCGACTGGTGGATACAGGACACGGTCTAGTATCCAGCGGTGCAATACAGCCGGTGGTCGTTATTTCTTTTAGAAGGCTGGATATCGCCGGTGGTCGTTATTTCTTTTAGAAGGCTGGATACCGCCAGTGGACACTATTATTTTAGAAGGCTGGATGTCGCCAGTGGCCATATCACATACCTAGAGGGGAAGTGTCCAATAGGGCCTTTCGGTTGTTTTCTCAATTAGGTACTCGCCTCTAAAAAGTGGTGAATATTGACGTGACGTTTATCACTCAGTTCTAATCAATACTCTTACCTGAAAACGTTCGTGGTCCTATCATTGACCTTTGAAATTATGCATTGTTGAACCCGCGACCGCCTGGGGGGGGGGGTCGAATCCGACCCCCCCCCTCCGTTTTTCTTGAATAACTCATGAACCGCTTACGCTATCTACTTGAAACTTGGCATACCTTCTCCCCCATCAATTTGACGTCTCCTGTGCAATTTTTAAGAAAAAATTTCCAATTTTTTTTTTAGATATATCGATTTTAGTGATGTAACTACATGGCGTTTTCAGTCAAAAAATGGTAAATGTTTAAAAAATCGCCAAAAATCGAGGTTTTGAGCAAATTGCAAATTAAGAACATGAATAGACGCAGCTCAACGAGTTCTTTAAAATGGCTATCTTGGATTTTCCATAAAATGCGTTTTTTACCCCTAAAAATTCAAAAAACTATATTTTTTTGGAAAACAGCTGATAAAATCCAAAATTTTTTGAATTTCCAAAAAACCGGAATATACCGGGTGGCCCAAAAAAAAACGTTCCCAACTTTGGAGGCCTATATCTCAAATTGGAGTGCAAATAACGAGCCAAAATTTTCATCAAGTTTGCATCACGTCGTTGCGCATTGGCATGCGAAATTGTAACACTGTACTATCATTTTCAAGCCAGCAATCTTATGTTGAATCAAGTAAGATGTTTTTGCTTTTTTTGCCGATGTTGAACGGAAGTGATGATTGGCTTATAGACGTACTACGTTAGAAAAAGATAGAAAAATAGAACACGTGAATGAAACCAGCACGTACGTTGTTATTTTAAATATTTTTATCCCACTTATGTGCCAAATATTCAAATAATCAGCCAAAATGGTGTTAATGGATGCCACTCGTTTCAACGCTAAGTCCTGTTTCGAGCAGAAGGAGTGGCACGGTGCATGGGTTACTGCTCATCGCCCTCCCTTCAAGAAGATCAAACAGTAAATCGACCGAATAAAGAAAAAAGCTAGAGGGAATGTGTCACCCTGAGGCCTGAACCATCAATGGGACTAGATGCCAGTAGCAGTCATGGCTGCAGGCCATGGTGCCGAGATGAAAGTGGCCCGTTCACTCACATTTTTTAGTAAACATCTGAGCAAAAAAAGTAATTTTTACATGGCATGCTAGAAACACGAACCGTTTAAAAAGTAATTGACCGAATAACATAAAAATCATACCATTCACTGAAAATATAGGCCGCATTGACTATTGGAAGTTTCAGTGTTGCATCTTTATCACTTTCTGAGAAATATTGATTCAAAGTTGGGAACGTTTTTTCTGGGCCACCCGGTATGTTATAGAGCTCTATTAGAACATTAGATGTCCCAGATTTCAACTTTCTATCTTGATTTTTGACCCCCAAATTGTAAAAAAATAGCTCCAACATGCATAGGGCATGGTGACGTCATAAGCATTTTCGTGAATTAGAGGCACTTCTGAACATCGCATGTGAAAACAAATGGCACCACTAGATTCCTGGGACAAAGCTCGTCTAGAAAAGTGCATTTTTATGTCAAAAATAAAAAGTTGAAAAATTGACCTTTTTTTCTGGGCCCTCGTTTAGTTATGTATGGTATAAACGATTTTTTATGCTTTTAATGCACACTTGTCACCAGCACAGTGACTTGGGGTCACATATAACCATTACCATCGGATTCGGCGTGAAAAATAAGCCATAAAACATGTGTCGCACGCCCATGTAGCAGCAAGTGAAAACCGTGACCTTTCGTGACCTGACCTGACCTTGACCCGTACTTAGTATGACCCCTATACGCACATGGTACCTTCACTAGGCCTTTTAGGTCATTTGTGGTGAGTTTCGAGCAGCAGCTATCGATTCCGCTGTCCGTAAGCCTAATCATGCAAAACCCCTGAATTTGACCTTTGACCTGACCTTGACCCGAAAGTTGACCTCAATCTTAAAATCTTAAGAGTGCTTTGGGAAGGTCTCGTAGAGACCTCTCGAACGCTGCCTCGCGGGGCTCGATACGACCATTGGTTCTCGAGATAACAGGGGGGTCGGATCCGACCCCCCCCCAGGCTGTCGTGGGTACGGAAATAGCCCAGGCGGTGCCGGGTTAACCCGTGCCGGGCCGGGGGGGGTGTTTGAACACCCCCTGCGGTTTTTCGCAGATATCTCAAAAACAGCGGCTCGGAGCGTCGCTGTTTTTGGCACACCTGTTCATGCATCTTTTCCGCACATTTTGTAAAAATTTCAGACCCAGGGCTCTCAACGTCAGGTCACCAGGTCAGGTCAGGTCAAGTGACCTCACCTCAGAAAAAAGTTTCAATCCTCGTCATAGCTACAGCGACTGAACGATCGCCTTGAAACGTTCAGCGATTGATAAGAGTAACAGTATGTACAAAATGTTTATCTCGGAATTTCGATATCGGTGACCTAAGGTCAGGTCAATTTTGCGACCTCTCCATCATACTCTGTAACAAATATTCAGTACACTATGGCATGAAAATCAATCAAGCGAAAACGTTCATGGCACCAAAAGGACTTTGCAGGACATCCAGCCAGCTCAGATTAACCTTCGCCCCAGTGGGGGGGGGGGGCATATGTTACCACCCTGTCGCGTTTTTCGCGTGTGAATAAAAAACCGCGGCGCGTAGCGCCGCGCCGCTTAAGATAGCTTTTGGTACATCAATTTTGGACAATGTGTGAAATTTTTGACCCCAGGTCATGTCAGGTCAGGTCACCAGGTCAAGTTAACTGACCAAGCCTTAAAAAAAGTTTGCAATCATGTCCAGCCTGCAGTGTTTGTCAGAAAGGTTTTAAACTTGGTGGATTGCATGCTGTTATGGAAGCCTACAATTTGTATATCTCGGATTTTTTATATCCGTGACCTAAGGTCAGGTCAGTGGCATGACCTTTCCATTACAAGTCAATGGAGAAAAATGAAAATGCCTCTAGATCAGTGTGTACGCATAGGAACAGTCCAAATATTTCAGAATCACAATGATTTAGTCCACTCGTGATGACAAAGGTGTCATTTTTGCTGATAGCCTCTAGAAAGGTCATCCGAGGTCATTTGAGGCTACAAACAGTTTTTTGCCAATAACTCGCGATTGGAAAGAGATAGAACGCTGGGGATGGTCTCATTGTGTTTGTCTTGTTGAGACGCATCGACTGATATGCAACATGACCTTTTCCGGTCAGGTCATGACCTTGACCTGAGGTCAAATTTTTAAGTTGACCTTTCAAGGTCAAATTATATTTCATTCGACGCGTCTCGGTGAGGGGAACACGATTCTGGTAATAGAAATGCCGTGGCTTTTTGTAGTCGAAAGTTATTGTCGAAAAACACTTTTCGTAAAAACAGCTATTTTTGGAGTTTTTGCCCTCTGGAGGCTAAACCGTTGACCTGAGGACAAAATTGATAATAACCTTTTCAAAAGAAGAGTTCAAAAACTACCGATTGCTTTTCAATGCGTTTTTCTAGCTACCATAGTTCCTGAGATAGCGGCATGTTTTCTGAAAAATATAATGACAATTGGCAAATTTTGACCTTTGATGACCTCTGGTGACCCCAATATTGCTCTAAGGTGAAAAATGACCGAAATACTTTCAAACGTAAGTATTAAGAGCTATCGACTGCTTTTTACCGCGTCTTTCTAGCCCTCTTAGTTTTTGAGTTAGAGGTGGGTGGTAACATATGCCCCCCCTCACTAGGGCGAAGTTGGCCGAGACCGCCACTGGGGCGCGGGTTAAGTTTAGACAGTCGATCATCTCTGAAAGCCGCACAGTTAAAAACATCGGCCTCACAATGGACCGACATCTGACGTTCGGGGATGATGTTAGCCAGCTGGTTGGCAGATGTACCGGTCTTTTGATTTCGCCGTCCCATTCCAAGCATGTCATACCTGCCGGACCGTTGCTTACATTGTGAACGCACTTGTGGCTAGCTCAATTCGCTTCTGCTGTACTGCATCTCCATCTACGGGTCCTGCCGCTGCGGTAAAACAGAAAAGCACCGCATTCAGAAACTGTTCAATTTCTGAGCTCGTGTTGTGAGCGGCCGGCACAAATTTGATCACATTTCTGACGTGTTTCATCAACTCGGGTGGTTACATGCTGAGCTGCTCGTGAGCTACCATAGACTTGATTAAAAAGTCGCTCTAGATACTGAATTACCTGCCGACATTGCAGCCATGTTTTCGCATGTCTGTACTCCACAATCCTACTCGCCAGATCGGCCAGCTGCACTGCCACTGCCAGAGAACAGACAGACATCCCAGTGGCGGATCCAGGGGGGGGGGGGGGAAATGGGCATTTGCCCCCCCCCCCCAAACGGCATAATTTTAACATTACGCCTATGGACGAGGCATGGAAAGAATCGATAAATTGTTATGGTTTGCCCCCCCCCCCCCAAAAAAAACTCTGAGCTGGATCCGCCTCTGAGACATCCTCCGGCACTGCAGGCGGCTATCACACTGCAGTGCAATGTTTAACCCGCGCCCAGATGGGGTCTGCCGAGCAACGCGGTCTGATGGGGGGGGCCATTTTGGCCCCCCCCCTCAGATCTCGAGAACCACGCAATATAGCGACAAGCGGTAAACGGTGTTGGATAGCCCCAACGAGGAACTACCTTGTGACCCAATTTCATTGACCTCGGTCAAACCGATGACGTCACAGGTCAGGTCAAAGGTCGAATTTTCACCGTTTACAGGCATTTCAAGAAATGCGTTGTAAAATCGAGTAAAATGCATTTCATTGAAAATCATCGATGGGGAAATGTTCTTCAAACACATATTTTGCTATTTGAGGTCACTGATACCAGGTCAGGTCACATAGGTCAGGTCACTGGGGGGTCACAATATGAAAGTGTCGTGTGATACATGTTTTATGGTCCATTTTACATGACAAATGCGATTATGTGGGTCAGACAGACTTTAGGGCCAGCTTAGGTCACGTTTTGGTCAAGGTCAGGTCAAGGTCAGGTCAAATTAGGTCAAATTTCAAAGTTGATATTTTTGCATAAAATGGGTATCGATTCGATGCAGCTCGTCACGGGGAGTTCAATGGTGGTCTCCGTTTTGCGCTACGAGGTCTAGAATTGCTACAAATTGAGTTCAAAATTTGACGTCATTTATTTTTAACAGTTTTTTCGCTATAACTTGGCCAAAAAAAGAGGCATCGATCTAAAATTTGGTATGTATATCGAAGAGCGCAGGGACTATCACATATATTCCGGTTTTTTCGAAATTCGAAAATTTTTTGGAAATGTTTTGAGTTTTTCTAAAAAAATCAATTTTTTTGATTTTTGGGGGTCAAAATCCCAAAATTTCGAAAATCCGAGATAGCAGTTTTGTAGCGCCGTCTTTTCTCTACACAACCACATAAAGAACTTTAAAATTGCTTGCTAACTGTAGAATTTGTGAGCGTTTAAAGATGTCATGTTTTTTGCTCATTTTTACTCGAACATGACCTCAGTTTGACCTCAATAACTCCTGACCTGAGGTGACCTGTGACTTGAAATTTTGTGTGAAGGTGTCAAATTGATGCCCGGTAAGGTACCCAAAATTTGGCGGCACTGCGCGCCGCCGTTTTCTCGCTATTTAAGAAAAACCACAGGGGGGGCCAAAATGGCCCCCCCCATCAGGGCGCGGGTTAATTAACCGGCTCCCGAGCGAGCTGAAATGCCTCACCGGATGTTCCTTCAAACGCCATCTTAAGCAGCTGGCAGCTGCTGCTGTACACGTGGTACTGTTGTGGTACTGGGACTGATGGCTGATAAGTGAACGCAAGGAGTGAATGAATGGTACTGTGTCTGTGTTTATCTGTTTTAGCCTCACCGTTGTTTTGCCCTTTACCTACCCTGGTTTTACCTCCACTGACGTAGTCGTAAGGTGACTCGGGTGCGGAAAAGCCACCGCATTGTGGATGCGTCTTTAAATATTCTTTGAACTTTGGGAAGCGAATCGCACGACTGGTAAAATTTAAAAGGTAAAAATCAAAAGTTAAAGGCCTAAAATTCAGCGCCACGGACTGACAGACTGCTGGAAACCTGCTGTCATCTATCGGCGGTTGTCGGAACTAGAGATGTCAATCGGATACCAACTTTTTGGTATACCGAATACCGATACCAAACCGATACCAACTTGGTATTTGGTATTTGTCAATGCTAAGGCCTTCGGTATTTTGTTGGTATTATGAATCCTATTCCTAATGTAAAAGAGGCAGCTAATTTGGTAAAAAGTTCGTATTTTTCTCATTTTCCAAAGTCGGTTCGGTTTCGGTATTCAGGGGCGCGGGAACTACTTTCAGACTGGGGGGGGGGGCACCATGATAGAGATGAACCTAGGGTACCCCCAAATTTAGTTTTCTCGCCGGTTTTAGGCCACTTATTTTTCATCCCTTGGCTTTTTCAACAAAAAAGAAAACATTTGCAAAAAAGTGCGGTATTCCGTCTTAAAGTTGTGGGGGCACCACCCCCACGGCCCTTAAGTTAGAGGGGCAAGCTGCCCCCACTGCCCCCCCCCCGGTTCCCGCGCCCATGTCGGTATTTCCTCATGGTTTTTGTTGGTATTTGGTTTGGTATTGGTATCACGATTTTCCGTAATTGACATCACTAGTCGGAACCACATACGGCAAACTGAGCCCAGGACCTGCTGCCACCTATCGGCGATTGTCGGAACCAGAGGCGGCCGACGGTCGAGCCTCAATATACCCTGGGTCGAGCGACGGCCTTGGGACTGCCAGTGGCTGCTGGAAGTGTGGCGTAGCAGGTGGGGGTACGGAAAGTGGAGACGGAGAAATACGGACGGTGCAGACGGCGGTACGGACAGAGGAGACGAGGTGAGGTCAGAGAGAGGGGGGTCAGGGGAGGGGTGACACAGACGGTCACACATCTTTGTGGGGATGAGAGGGGGGAGGAGCTGGCTAAACAGTGTGGTCTTTGTGTGGCCTGTGGGTATTTTCCAGGGGCTAGTCCTCAGCGGCACGGTACCGTGTTGAAGGTATGGCCGAGTGCTGAGCTCCAACAGTTGAACAAGCGTAGATTTTGTTCTTTTCCATGCCCTTAATCTAAATAACTATGTTTATCAGCGCACCCAACATTGCAATTGAGGTAATCCGCTGGGGTGAGTGAGGTCACGTGACACATCCCCATCAGTCTGACGTAATCTGCAGGATAGCTTTCTGCCAGTGGTAGCTATTCAGTGTTAGGTAGTTGTAGGGGTATATCAATATAGGACCTTGGGTGCAGGGTGAAGTGTTGTTGGGTTAGGTAAAAATTAGTCAGGCATGGCTAGTTTTGGCCGGGCTAGGTGAAGCTGATAAGGAGGCCTGAGAGTTGAGACCAGGGCCTGGATGGATTATCGTGACGTTTACAACTCTTTCAATAATCAGGACATGTAAAAACATGGTAAGGAGCGTACTTATCTAAAAAAAACAACGGGCCCTCCCCTTCAGTTTTCCTGAACGGGGAGTCCCCCTGGCGCGGTTCCAGTTCGCCCCGCTGCGCGTGGGAGAGGGGAAGTCCCTTTCTACCGTTGGGCGCGACTGGCTGGCGGTTGCCATGGAGGCGTCTCAGCTACCAGGATGAGGAGCTTGTCTGAGGAGTTTGGTCTGGTCACGGCCCTATATACCGGTCAGGTCAGATTTGACGACCAACTGCTCTCTACCGGTGTTTCTGCTGAACACACAGACACGGAGCTGATCCACGGCCGAGTCAGCCGACGGAGACACGACACCGTGGGTCGGGTGGCCAGTGCTCGGTGTCGGCGGTAGACAGGGGTCAGGGGGGTCAGCGGGGGGTGGAGGGGAGGGGGAGAGGTTGTGGAGGGAGGTGATACGGCGAGAGAGTCCGTGAACACCCTCGGCTGAGTTCACGGCGGGTGGGGAAAACAGACATGAAACCTCGTACGAACCAACTGTGGCTCACGCAGCACGCCTACACCAGCCTCTGACGTAAAAAAGTAGCTCCGTAAAGGCCTCGCCAGGAGTCGTATCTCCCCCTATCCACTCGTTATGAGAGAGGGTCTGGCCAGATCAGGGCTGAGGAAAGGGGTTATTCTATACGTACCGCATCATAGTGTCTCGAAAACTTCGTTACTTTACCCGTGAGCTGCTGGATGAGTTAACGCCCCACTTTTTTCGCCGCGCTTAAAAAAAACGGCCGCGTCGCAGGAGTGCCAAATTCTGGTTGCATGTAGGGAATCCATTGAAGTTCATTGCGATGAAATTTCAAACAAATTGGTGGGGAAAATTAAGGTTGAGGTTTTAGTGACGTCATGACTCCTGGTTTTCCGACCAACAACGGTATGTGTTAAAAAATCTTAAACTCACAGAATAGCCATAGACACATGCCGTTAAGGCCATTAGACTGTTTCAGGTGAAACCGTTCTCTCAGTCTTATATACCGTACGTTCTCTGTTTTAGAAATGGAGCCCAGGCAGCTCCAAGAGGAGGTTATCCAGATGAAAGAAGAGATGGCACTTCTGAAGGAGGAACTGACACATCGCCATCAAGAGGGCATTGCCCGTTTGGATGTGGAACTGACCACACTGAAGAAAAACTGCGACTCACTGAGTGAACAGGTGGTCGGACTGGAGGGAGAAGTGGCCACACTGAAGGGAGACAACGCCACACTGAAGGGAGACAACGCCACACTGAAGGGAGACAACACTACACTGCGTCAGGAGGTGGTCCATCTACGTGAAGAGGTGGTCCGCCTGCGGCAGGCTGTGCTCGAGGAGCGCACCACTCGCCAGGTCGTCGTGGAGGAGCTGCGGCAGGAGGTCCGCCGGCGAGCGGCGCCATCCGACCGTTTGCAGAGGTGAGACTGAGAGGCAGTAGGGGTGGCACCAGGGGTTAGTCGATGAGATGACACTAGGGGCAAATAGTAACAAGAGGTCGGCTTTGGTTGCAGGAGTAGACGCTTGGCGTAGACAGTTGGTCTGTAAAACTCAAACCAGCTGTACGGATAGTCGGTCAGTAAGACTTAACCGGTTGTGAAGACAACTTTCTGTAAGAGTGACGGTTGTGTGATCAGTTTGTCAGTAATAGTAAGTGTACCTTATTTTGTGGATAGTTTGTCTTGTCTGTGAGGCTGTGAGGCAGCAAGGATGGCACTGAAGGTTGGAAATGGGGATGAACACTGCATGGGCTCACGTGGATCGATGGTACGGGACTGTCTCGGAAGAGAAGACGTCTGGAAATTATCTCCCAATGACTGACCTCTGATGACGTCTCACCACGTCATACTGACGTCATTTCGCCACAGTGACGACGAAGAGCCTCGCGAACTGAATTCACTGAAAGACAACAATTGTGACAAGTGTGACGTCACAACCCAAACTGCGGAGGACGCGGGACTGGCGGGTGATAGCTTGAGGCCGCCCGCGCCTCACGAGACCAACATCTACCACCTGGACACCGAGCTGCTGAAGATGGTGCTGAGCAAGATGGACTGCAGGGACATGTTCCGCGCCAGGCGGGGTGAGTTTCCTGGCGACTGGCGAGGTATTATTTGACCAGTATAACGCCTTTTGGGGCGACTAACGGAGCGAGCGAGAGGGTGGGCCTTGCACGTGCGAAATTGCGAGGGGGTACCTCCAACTGACTTGTGCACGGCACCCTACTAACTGGTCTCTAGCGATGTGGCAAATTTGGGCACAATCGGCCCAGCCGTTCTCGAGATCTGGAAGCGGCACCCTGCACGTGCGCACGTGCAAAATGGGTCCCAACTGACTTGTGCACGGCACCCTACTAACCGGTCCCTAACCGTGTACCAAATTTGAGCGCAATCGGTCCAGCCGTTCCCGAGATCTGGAAACGACCCCTGCACGTGCGCACGTGCAGCAGCACCCCAACTCTGGCACATGTATATGCAGTGCCTAGTGGGTGCCTACCTACATGCCAACTTTCAGCGCAATCGGCCAAGTAGTTACCGAGATATTGCAACAATTACAAAACTGACACCTCTTCGTTTTGCACGTGGCACGTGCATAAGGGGTCACCCACATGCATCGGGAATAGTCCAATACTTGGTAGAAGGAATGAAGCTACCCTACAAAAATTACCGCGTGTAAATCGGTCAAGTGATTGCTGAGATATAAGCCTCGCAAAAGCGTGACCACGGCCGGCCGGCCGGCCGGCCGGCCGCTCATACTCAGAAATTTCCGTTATTCTACGTAAGACTCCGCTCGCTTCGCTCGCTCCGTAACAATAACTCAGAGCCTATTTTAAGGGAATTTGACTGGGGGAGGGGGGCAACCTGGAAAATTGTCTTTAATAATCCATTAACCCTCACCTGTATTGGCGTTTTCCAGCTGCGAACGTATATGGGGGGGGGCGTTGGACCCCCTTGCCGTTTCGCCCCTGATCGAGCTAGAGCTTCGCGGAAAAAACGACTGTGTTGCCCGTGATGAAAGGAAGCCGATGGTACCCAATTTAAGGTCCTAGGTCATCGGTTGACCTTCCAGGTCAGGTCAATGACCCAAAAGTCGGGAATATCGGGACCAGTTAGAGCGTCGTGAAGGGTGGCTGCTATGTTATTTCGGGGTGCTGATCACGAATGTCATGTTAGTTATGATCATAGATGATGTCCTCATGCATTTAGGTCAAGTCGGGTCAGGTCAGGTCAGGTCAACCAGTAAGGGTTTTGCCGGGTATTCGTAAAAGGTGGCAACCGCCTCTGACAGCTTCGTAACACGTTATGAAGGCACCAAAACTACTTCGTAAACGGTCAAATGGTTGCTAAATTCGAATTCAGCTCCAAAAACTAGCCTAGAAACATAAAAAACTCGAAAATGTGAACCGAGGTCATCAAAGGTAAATGACCTGACCTGACCTTCCGGTGACCTTGACACTTACCCTAATGCATGGGAGCAACATCATATCCCATGTTTGAACGTTTGAAACCACGAAAAGACTGCAAACGCGCGGCTAATGCGAGACGACATACGCCGAATAGCGATCCCGGCCAAACATGGTGCCATTGTGCTAGGCCGCCGGTGCATCTAAAAGAACTGTGGTGCCCCTGACAAGCCTGAAGTTCCAAGGACAGGCCCGTGGTGCCCCTGACAGGCCCATGATGCCCTTGCGAGGCCGGTGGTGTCCCTGCGAGGCCGGTGGTGCCCCTGCCAGGCATGTGGTGTCCCTGCTAGGCCTCTGGTGCCCCTGACAGGCCTGTGGTGCCCCTGAAAGGACTGTGGTGTCCCTTGGCCCTGACAAGCCTGAGGTGCCCCCGACAGGCCCGTGGTGTCGCTGACAGGTCCGTGGTGCCCTTGCTAGGCCAGTGGTGCCTCTGGCAGGCCTGTGGTGCCCCTGGCGGGCCTGTGGTGGTACCCCTGACAGGCCCAAGTTGGTGCCCCTGCGAGGCCGGTGGGGCCCCTGGCAGGTCTGTGGTGCGCCTGGCAGACCTATGGTGCTCTTGCTAGGCCGATGGTGCTCCTGACAGGCCTGTGACGCTCCTGACAGGCCTGTGGTGCCCCTGACAAACTTGTGGTGCCCCCGACAGGCCCGCGGTGCCCCTGACAGGCCCAAGGTGCCCCTGCGAGGTCGGTGGGGCCCCTGGCATGTCTGTAGTGCCCCTGGCAGACCTATGGTTCTCTTGCTAGGTCGATGGTGCTCCCAACAGGCCTGTGGTGCCCTGACAGGCCAGTGGTGTCCCTGGCAGGCCTGTGGTGTCCCCGGGCCCCAAGGGGGCGGGGGTCATGACCAATATGACCCACCCTTGGATCCACCACTGGTCGACTGACTCATTTGGTATCCATTGCAAAACAAGTCACAGTAGTATGTTTGTCACCCTGTTCCTTTGTGCCCATTTTTATAGTGGGCAAATCTCGACGACTGGGGGGGGGGGGGGCAATTCTGTTGAGTGCGGGGGCATTTGCCCCCCCCCCCAGGCCCCAGTTAACATGTTAAAATAGGCCCTGCAATAACTATTATCCGAGTCAATGTGGTGTGTTTCCTTAGTGTCAAATGGCGTTAGGCAAGGCGGCATTCTCTCACCTTATTGTTAATGCATATACGGATGGTTTTCGACTCTTCTCGACCAAAGTGGCGTGGGGGCCATTATCTAGGTAGTCTCAACCATCTCTATTATGCAGTGATATGGTCATTCTTTCGCCTACGCCTTTTGGGCTTCAAAAATGTGCTGAACATTTGCTCCGAGTATGCGAAAGATCATACAGCTATTCAATACTAAAAAGACAGTCTGCATGGCCATGCTTCCCGTGAGTCTTCGAAATCTATCACTCCCTAAGATATCATTGTGCAATAGTGTGCTTTCATATTGTCGACGAATATAAGTATCTTGGATACCACATTTCGAGCACACGAACCAGTGGACAATGTCGAGATTTGGTCATCAGTATACGATCACTGTGTTGTCGTGCCAATTCATTGAGTCGTAAATTCGCTTT